GTTTAAGGTTTGGATTGAATTGGGAAAAATTGTGTAATTGTGGTAACTAAATGCCTTTGCTTATTGGTCTGATTGAGAAGGGAGGATTGATTTTGTGACCTCAACTGAAGATTTTTGATGCAAGGACCAGTTCAAATTTAATTGATATTCTTTAAGAAAGGTATAAACAGCTAATGAGATTTCAGTTTGTCTGCAACAGCCACCATTTTGGGCTGCATGACTTGGCAGCCGCCATGTCAGCCACATTGCTTGCCGCTCCCCTTGGGGCCGCCATCTTGAAACAGCAAAGGCCCCTCCCTCTGATTTAGTCAATCACAGAAGGAGTGTCTGCTCATTGAGGCAGGCTGGGATTTCAGGGGTGGAGTTTTAAGGTGGAGTTTTACTACAGAAATGTGGATGGGGCAGGAAGTGTGCTTGCCTCTCGGATTTATTTAATACTATTTTTAAGCTAATCTCTTAAATCTAGAAAACCCTGCTTTCCTTAAACTAAGGATAATTAAAGGTTATATGTCAAAGTCTTTAAAAGGGACTGATAGCAGTAATCCAATTTCTAAAGTGACTATTATTTCAGGTAGAAACTGTGGTTTCATACTGGTCTTAGAGGGCACATTTTTCCTTTGCCTGGGAGGGACAGCACAACTGTCCCAGGGTCAGAGGGCTCCAGTTAACTTGTCAACTCAGTGTTCTGGAGACCCAGGACTGTGGCTTAGATAACATGCCTAAGTTTAACCTAGGTTACCCAAGGACTCTAGATAATGTGTTTACCGAAAACTGTAATTTAGATTGCATGCTGTCTCTGCTCCTGTAAATTGCTTTTTTTGAAAACTAGGTTCCTCATTCCAAACCTTGAACTGTAGTCAATACCTTTGTGATTTTTTGACTGCCTCTGTTCAGGGACTTGTTGTGATTCGAAATTTTTAATGGGAAATGTTATCTGTCTTTATTGCTTAAATATGTGTCTTTGTTGTTTAAAATTGTTTAGTGAGTGAAATTTCTGTTTGTGTCTCTTAAAAATATGAATGTATTGCTAATCTTAGGAATGTTAATTATTTCTATTTGTTCATGTAAATGTGGAAGTCTGCGAAGAAAAAAAATGCACGCTTGATTTCTTTAAGGCTGAGAGCTCTGACCGATAGCAAAACGCCCCAAGCGACCACTGGGTTCTTTTCCCAAGGGCGCTTGCTCTCTGTTCTAGGTGGAATCGGCCCTCCTAACTAGTAAACATTTCTGTCTGTTTGTTTGCTGGGGACTTTGATTTGCTATGTGATATTTCTGTGTTGGGTTGGAATTTTGGAATTCTGAGGTAGATTTAAAAGGTATTTATGGCTTTTCTAGTCTGATTGGGACATTTAGGGGTGGGGTTCACAGTTCCTCAGGGCGGAGACTTTATGGGCCCTTCCCCCTGCCTGTGCTGAATTAAATAATACAGACCAGTGTCATTTGGCTTGCTGGTTAAAGGAAGGCAACGGGCCCTGGAATCTGTAAAAATGGCTGGGAATGAAGCTGGTTAAATGTATTGAAAGGGTTCGGTACCTGTTGCTGCTAGCAGAGGAGGGGCTGATATCCCCTTCTAGTGCACTCCCTTGAAAGAGGCCTGGTTGCTGCTCTGCCACAAAGGGAACTGGTGGAAAGGCAGGAGAGTGGAGCGCTGTGGCTGATGGGCAGGGTTAACAAAGGGGCACTCTCCCTGGACCTGGAAGCCATCGGGACTTTGAAGTTCTCCAAGAGAGGAGGAATCTGACTCAGAGACTGGCCGAAACCTTGTTGGGTTAGGAGAGCCGGAGGCTGAATATTGAACTTATAGATTGCAGTTTGCTGGGCAGAGATCCAAGCCCAGTTGTATAGGGGTCGAGCTACCTGTGTGCAGCAAGAAGAACTGGCCACAGTGCACAGCCCTGACTGTGACCTGCAGAAAACTGTATAATAGACTCAGGTGATGCCTGCATCTTCATGGACAAGGCTCCAAAGGGACAAGGACAATTTTGCCTTATATAGGAGGGTCAGGAGTGGACTTTAGTCACCTCCCTAAGATGTTTGTATAGCCCTGCCATATCTCATGTTTAGTAGCGGAGGATTTGGCTGCCTGAAGC